CTGCTTCAAATGATGATTTCACTCCCCTTAATTCTTACCTTGTGGATTTTGGACTAAACGAAACGTTTAAATGCATCGATGTATCTATAATTAATGACAATAAACCAGAGCATATGGAGACATTTTACATAACCATRACAAATAGCTCAAGCTATGTCACTGTGAATGAGACCCGGAACAACTTGACAGTAAACATTATGAACGATGATTATAAAGGTTAGTATAGTACAACGTATGCACTGTAAARATGGACTGGTTTAAACTACCAATATTAATAGTTATAACCATTTAAAATTGGTTGGAACTACCAATTATAATTGGTTGATTTGGGTCGTGGGAGCAGGTAAAACTTTAACCAAAAACAAATGGTTGAAACGACCAATATTAATGGTTATAACCATTTCAAATTGGTTGAAACTACCTATGATAATTGGTTAGTTTTTGACCAGCGCAAATGTGAAAAACTATACCAAAATAAAATGCTTATAATAACCAATTGTTAATGGTATACTAATAAATACCCATTTTTATTGGTTAATATAACCATTTCACTAAATTAGTTGGAATTACCAATGATAATTGGTTAGTTTTTGACCAGTATTAAAGTAACCAACTGATAATGGTATACTTATTGCAAAGATCTGTACTTTATTTTTAGTTGAGCTATTCAGACACGAGGCTTAACAAGTATATCCCGGATGTGGACACAGGGAGCCCACATCATTACACTTATAAATACCCATTCTTATTGGTTGATTTAACCAATGATGAAATGGTTGATATTTTCACGGCAAGTCCAACAGGTCAAAAGAACCAAAAGAAATTGGTTAAAAAACATATTTTTTGACTTATTTCAAATAAATTTAGATTATTTCATAATCATGATTTGTTAGATCATAGTTCTTAGTCAGCGGTCGGAGGTGACTCTGTAAAGAATACATTGGATGGAAACTCCATTGGCTTCACAGGTTGAATAAGTTCATTGGTAATTTTCATGTTCAAAAACCAAATGACTTATCATGAGAGATGTTCTAAATATGATGGCGTTTAGCGTTTTCCTGCTTTATGTCAACAGTGAAGCATTGTRAWTATTCTCCTGATTCGCTCTGAAAAGAAACTCGCGGAAATTATCGTGAAACTTGGACTTTTGAAAGTTGATCTGTTTACCTTCTGCTGTACTTATGTCAACAGGGAGCATTTCTTGGGTTCTGATTCGTCGTTTTTGTGATTAACCAGGAATCAAAACCACGATAGCAAACAATCTCGGTCTCTTTCTTTTCAAGTCTCGGACGAGTTAACAGCAAGAGTTTAGGAAATGTTTGTTTTCAATATAACCGTTTCTAAATAGGTTAAATCAGAAAAGCTAACTACAGAAGATGTTCTAGAGTACTAGTTTCTTAGAGGATCGAACCTCAAGTCTTCAGTGACGCATCAAAACTAAGGTAAATAACGTTAGAACCATTCCTGATTAGTGAATACAATGTATATCAGAACAAGCCAAGTGTTATTCATGGTCTCCGGATCATTGATGTTCATGATTCAAAAGAGGTTAAACTGTTCAATTTTGGTACAGGAAACCAAGTTGACGGAGAGAATCTCGTTGGCTTCGAGATGCTTGACATCAACGAAATGGCCCTCAATGATGATTCCGGTTCTCAAGACGCAAAAGAAGTTCATTTGTGTATGGCCTGAGCCAAGTCACAGACAAGGTAATTAGCATATATTATAGTGTTAATACTTTAGAATAACGTCGCTTACTTCATCTCGAAAAATGCCTTGGCAATATTGCATATTATATTGCATATCATCGCGAATGTTTCGGACCGATCTGAGTGGTCTTTTCCGCGCAATTTGGGGCAGTACACCTACTGAAAATKTTAATTGTTTAGAARCAATACACTTAAGGGCTTCTAGAATATTTTTTCATTACGACCTTACTGGGTCTAAAGTTCTGGATAAAACTGGCTGGGAAACATTATTTATCACGTGCAAAGTAGGCTTGATGCAATTAGCACATAAAATATTCAACGGAACAGTCCCAGATTGTATGAACAATTTACAATATAATTTATTCATCCATTACCAGGACCAAATAAGCCTGCAAACTCCACTAAAATCAAAACACCGAAGGAGTTCAAGTCAAGCGTTAAGGTGGCACAAGAGAACATTTTAAGCTTGTCCAAGATACCATACTATTAAATGGTTTTCAAATATTTACCATATCAGAGACCTGGGCTGATTTATCTGTCAGCAATGCATGCCTCGAAATCCCAGGTTATCAATTATTCAGACAGGATCGTGGACCACAGAAATCCGGACGTGGGCTATGCACTTGCGTACTGAACGATCTCAAAGCAACTGTGTTTTGAAAGATCTTACTATGGTTTCTGAAGATGGCTTTCAACAACAATGGCTAAAAATACAGTGCAGAAGTTTCAAATCCTTTTTGGACCTAGCACATCAATCAACTGACTTRAATCGCCTTAGCTAAATGCCTGGTTGACTCATCGCTGCTAAACCTCGACACTATATTACTTGGAGACTTAAATTGAAAATTAAGTCTAAATTGTTGAAAGATTTCATCTTAACTTTTAACTTGTGTGAAATGGTTGAAAAACCAACAGAGTGACTGAGGCTTCACAATCTCTAATTGATGTAATTATGACTACAGATACATCTATGGTGTGCGTCTGTGATGTATTAATCAGTTTTATCAGTGATGATGTTTTATGAGTCCGGTGAGTCAATGAGTCGTGAGTCGTGAGTCGTGAGTCGTGAGTCGTGAGTCGTGAGTCGTGAGTCGAATAAAATAAATTATAATATCTCTCGTGAAAATTATCAAAAATGGTACCGGTATTGAAGTTATAGCGGCAATGGACTGCTTCTGTCTCTTCCAGCATTTCATGTGTCTAGCTTTATTGTCTAGCCAACGGCACACTAACACAGTAAACCAAAAACATCAGATGAAAGTAATACAGCGAAAAATTTTAATATTAGATTCTCTGCTGATTTGCTGCATGTATTTTTAAACTTACCCTAGAACTGAAATCCATTTCTTCCCATGGTAATTGTTTCAAAACACCAACCAACTTAGACTTTTCGAAATTTCGAAATTTCGAACCATTCACTGGACTTGTACTCCAACTCGACTCTAATGTTGTTCAAATTTGAACCGATAATCGATATTTCATGCACCGAAAATTGAACTACGATATCTCTACTACTAACAGGTAAACAAACTCAATAGGTTTTGAGATAATACCTGTTTTTATTAGAACATCTCACTGCAAAGCTGCACGAATACTCGCCGATTGGTTTATTTGCTCCAGTCTATCCGCACACTTTAGCCCTGCTATAGATGGTGGCCACTGAATCCTTCTATACAAACGGTAGCGATATTCTATCCCAGATCGTTTGGTGGTATTCCAACAACTAGAATATAAAATATCATTAATTTTCCTATTTGACTCATGACTCAGTGACTCATGCGACTCATTCGAACGTCT